CGAAGGCCCATCCCGATCCAACAGCCTCGAGGACGTGGCTTAGCCGAGCTATATTTAAAGTTTAAAGCGCCCGCGTGTGTGTGATACCTATACAATATATAAACAAGTCACTGGACCTTCGCGGCCATCATCATCATCAGTGACGATCAATCCACTGCTGGATGAAGGCCTCCCAAAGCCACCGCCACCTCGCGCGATCCTGCGATGTAATGATCCACCTAGCAGCTGGACATGAACTGATTTCATCGCTTCATCTCGTCGATGGACGTACACTCGGGCTTGTTCCATTCCATGGCTTGAATAGTAATTTAAAGCCCCCGCTGTCAATCGATCCACTGTCGTGCTGGATGATGCCCCCCCCCCCCCCATGGCGCCGGGTCGGTCATGGAGGTTTGTGTGACCATACTTCACCATGCTTGTCAGTGCGAATTAGTGAACTTATGCGTGGTAGGAAACAAAGGACAGGCCACTGATGTTAGTCGTGGCCGAGAAACGAACTCGGGTTGCCAGGTGTCGTGGCGCAGTGCTCTAAGAACCACTGCAACCACTGCACCACCTTGTCACCAACCTGCAACTTAAACTGTTTTTTATTTTACCAGGTAAGGCCCACTTCAAATCTAGAATTATTTAGCTCTTTATCAGAAGCGATCTGGCCGCAAACGATATCTCAATGAAGTGGTTTACCATGTGTAAATGTATAGGAGCAGCCATATTCTCGAAACGCACGTTTCTAAATGTGGAGGGGAAAACCGGAGAACCCGTAATCCATGGGAACACGCAAACTCCAAATATGCAGTAGGCGTCAGGGTCGGGATCGAACGCACGACCTCTTTGCATACCCGGCGAGGTAGTTAACATCCCGCCACTGCGGCGCCCGCTTGAGACGTGGCCCAAAATTAATTCGCCACGTTCCAAGAACTACTGCTAAAATTATAAACGCCACTCATGATTCTCCCGTCCCCTTAACACTTGCAAAACAATATTTAATCTGCCTTGCGCTCCAACCCTCCGTTCGCTCCTGCGTTGTGTGGCGCTGGGCCATTTGGATTCGCTGCTTGGAGCGTGCGAGTGTCTCTTTGGAGCCCCCGTGTAAGTTAAATAAAAACGGTCTAATGTCAACGTGTAAAAGTTAAAGGTGCAGCCCTGGAATTGCTTGCTCACGCCGCTGCTAGCAGAAGGCATTCCAATGGAGGGTTATCTACAGAGCCCCCTCCAGAAGAAATGTTGGTCTACTCTTCTACGCTTGGTGAGACGTTTGGGAAGAAATTGGGAGCTCCCCACATTTTAACCCCACTACGCACTACGTGCCAAACAACTGTTGCAAATCGATGTTAACTACCTCGCCTGGTATACAGGAGGTCGTGGGTTCAATCCACTGACTCCTGTATATTTGGAGTGTGCATGTTCTCCCCGTGGTCGCGTGTATTTTTCTCCGGGTCCTCCGGTTTTTCCCTCCACATTTATGAACACGTGTTTAGAGTATTTGGCTGCTTTAAATGTCCACATGATAAGCCACATTTTGAGCTATCGTTTGCGGTCAGGTCGCTTCTGACAAAAAGCTATATCTCAGTGGACGTTACCTAGTAAATAAAACATGCTTTCTAGTTTTAGTTAATATACTCTAATACAGTGCAGTAAATACATAACTGTATACACTATTTGATAACTATAATCTATATGACCATATCACCCAGAATGGCTCCTGATCTATTCAGATCTCGGAAGCTAAGTAGGGATGGAACAAAGGTACTTGCAAGTGTTTTAAATTCCTGAAACATAACGATATTTACGTATGCAATTACATCAACATTTCTTTATATGGCCTGATAATTTGGCCTCATCATCACGGACCTTAATTAATTACATCACGACGTGGATATACATCGCTTGTCAATGCGAGCACATTTTACGATGCTGTTCAGGAACAACGGAGATGATTTATATCACGGGTCAATAAATAACGGATCAAAATTTGTTGGAGCGCCAACTGTTGTTGGTTGTCGTGTACAATGAGTGGCTCCGTCAGAAGAATGTGGAATTACCATCACTCACTCAGAGCCGTGAACGGAGAAGAGTAACGCACCAAACTTGTTTCATTTTGAACCGATTTTTTATGTTCGTGATTTTATGCTGAGTCTATCTTATCGGGGGAGGGGGGGGGCGAAGGAGGGGGGGTGGGGATCGATTCAGGACAGCATCAGATACCAAACACATCGTGCCAGTCAAGTTGCTCTTGACCCCGGAATCCAACGCAGGCGACCAGGAATACAACCCAGGTGACAGGCTGCCGGAGCAAGTGCTGTAAACGAGCGCCTGTGAAGACCGGCACGGCGCTTGAAGGGGATGGTGTGGTCAGCACCACGCCCGACCACCTTTGTCTCTCCAGTTCTGATAGGTTTTTTTTTTTTACTCTGCACCGCGTACTCGTTTAAGGCTGCGGCGACCTACGGAAGGTCCATGACCGGATCAGATAATCGTCACTGCTGCTGGTGACCGTGAGTGGGAATCGAACCCGGGTGGCCGGGTTCGTAGCGCAGCTGCTCCCCAACGCACGGAGACATACAAACCCGAGTTAGATTCCGGCTCACGACCACCAACACACGTGACGATTATCTGAACCGTTCTTGCGCCTAGTACCTAGTTCGGTGTGTAAACATCACCACTGGGGAGACAAAGGCGGCCCAGCGTGGTGCTGGCCATCCACACCCTTGTGAGCCGTTCCGGCCTTCATTGGTGCTCGTTAACAGCACTTGCCCCAAGAGTCTGTTAAGCCTATACAGAGGGGGGGGGGGGGGGGAATCTTGTCTTTGTAGAGACGCACATACACTCGCCACGTCCTGCACACTCGCTCGCATGCCAACGCGTGCCCGTATTGAAACAACCCACGGATGTTGAAATGCATAACCGCACACCGCACGCACACGCACGCGCGCACGCGACCCCGTCCGTGACTTATGACGAATTTTTTTTTCCAATTTTATTTCCAGTACAAGAATGAGCAAGCATGGAGCCTATGGGGACCGCACACAGCCCAGTATTGTCGAGTGTGGCAGTCAACGGGCAGCAGATGCACCCAAGTCGCGTCGCGTGATTCAGATATGAAATGATATCGGATTACTCGCGAACGGGAACGAGAGCCGATTGGGTGACGCGGGTCGAGATGGGGTTCGCTCCGTTAGACCCGCAACGAGACGCATGCACAAATATTAACTTAAACAACACTCGCTCAGTGAGCACTAGGTACTCGTTTGAGGTTGAGTCGACCTAGGAGAGGCCCAGACATCGTTCAGATGATCATCACTGGCGTTGGTGGCCGTGAGCAGGAATTCAGTTCGGTCGCCAAGACAAAGGTCCCCCGTATAGTCTTAACACACTGTTGGGGCAAGTGCTGGTAACGAGCACCTATGAATGCTGGAACGGCATTCAACGAGGGGTTGGGAAGCCAGCACCAATCCCGGCCGCCTTTGTCTCCCCAGTGGCAATGGTTACACATCGCACCAGGTACTCATTTGAGGCAGAGTCGACCTAGGAGATGCCCAGAACCGGTTCAGATAATCGTCACTGGTGTTGGCTCGCTGGGTTCGTAGTGCAGCGCGCTAACCGCTACAACCACCGCTCCTCAGCGCAACAGTGACACACGCGTGTACACCACCACCAAAAGACAAAGATCCACCGTATAGCCTTAACAGACTATTGGGGCAAGTGCTGTTCGCGAGCACCTATGAAGGCCGGCAAGCACCTCGCCCGACCGCCTTTGTCTCCCCAGTGGCGATGTTCACACACCGCACCAGGTACTCATTTGAGTCTGAGTGGATCTAGGGGGAGGGCCAGAACCGGTTCAGATTTCCGCTACCGGTTGTTGGCCGGGTTCGACGTGCAGCATAGCGCTAACCGCTACACGACCGCTCCCCTAACCACCACCACCACCACCACCACACACAGAGACGCCCTTCTCGCGCTCAGTATGAAGAGGCTGGTGTCACAGCGCCCGTCCATTCGACACACCCCGGACCCTCCTATAGCCACCCACACCCCCCCTGCGCCGCGTTGTCGGAGCGGTTTCTCCTGCGGCGAAAGTTGATCCGAGAAACTGGCGAGCTGAGGAAAATCGAGGAGGAGGAGGAGAGGAGGAGGGGAGGAGAGGAGGAGGAACGTGCTGGCGCGGGTATGGATGGCACGACCTCCATCACCAAACCCCCGTGTCATGTTTCATTGACAGGCACGACACGTTTTCTTGAAGAAGGGCCATTGTTCGGAACGTCCCCGTTATGTTTATTCTGTATGGGGGGGGCAGTGTTGCAATTACTGCTGTTGTAGAATTCGTAAAGAGCTATTTCGAAATATCTTCGTTCAGTGGGGTGTTGATATATCTCCCCGTCTAAAACTTTCCTCTAAAATCTATACAGCAATCGGTGTCTTCCCTAATAACATCAACTGGTAAAAAAAAACTGCGTTAAGGTGTTAAATAATCGGTTTGATTGCGATGGCGGCGATGATGGCCAATCACATGGCAAAGTGAATTAACAACGCTTACACGTGTGTGCGCGTGTGTGTGTGTACACTAAATCGAGGTTGAATTCGCATTTCTGCGGAGGCTCGGCGAGTGTTCGTGATGGTGATCGTGACATTGGCCGTGGGGGGGGTGGAAGGAGTGGGGTTAGAGTTGGGATCGTAACGATCACCATGCATGGCTCTGGCTATCGTTGACCGCAGCAGTCTCTGGGCAGTGACGAAGTTAATGAAGAAGGCGACCTCGTGCCATGATGTCGTTGTTGCTCTAGCAGCAGCAGCAGACGCAGCAGGACAGCGATTGTGGTTTTGATAGGTGGTGGTGTTGATGTTGATGTTGGTTAGTGGCGTTTTCGGGGATGGCCCGGTGGGTGTGGTGGGTGGCGTGGGGTGCTATGGGGCTTCGCGAGGTCACGACGGATGAGACGGTGGGGTCGGATGAGAGGGTGGGGTGGGTGAGTGGGTGAGTGAGTGAGTGGGCATGTCTGGGCGGTGCCGCAAAACTCCGGTGTCCAAAAATAATCAGCGGGGGCATTGAGCTGGTGAGATGTGGCGATAGCCGGCCTCTACTTCGCGCACGTGTACGTATGTGTTGTGTGTGTGTATATATATGTTCTCGATTAAATGTTAGAAATGCGGGAGGCATTTGAACGTCGCCAAATCTCATCCGACTTATCGAACAGCTGTCGCGCGGAATGCTGAAGTCCGTCTCCTCTTCTCGTCCAATTCTCGGTTGAAGCACTCCGTTGTTTCAACTCAAGACTCGTTTAATAGTTTATACACCTACGGAGCAACGCGCACACACACGTACATAGAAGCACACACGCACACGGGAGAAGGTCGGAGGAGTTACTCGCCTCTAATAACTGTACCGCATTCGCACGTGTTAACGTATCGGGCGGTATCTGTGCTTGCGCTGGCATTAACATTACCGCTGGTCATCAATCACCACATAATCGCGAGGCTCATCGGACTGATTAAGAAGTCACGCTTCGACCATCGTCGCGAACAAATAAATATATTTGAACAACAACATCAACAACAACTAAAGTATCTTTAAAGTGCATCGCTCCGCCACCACCACCACCACCGCCTTCCACCCGCCACCATGGAGTTACTGGACGGTGGCGCCGCCGGACATTTCGTGGCCGAGGCCGAAAACATCATCTACCGTGGAGAGCCGTGCTTCGGCTACTCAGACATCGACTTTCTCGACGACTTTGACCCCCGACTCGAGAGCCCGGCGGCGCCGGGCGGCGCTCACCGCGGCGGCGGCGGCGTGGACGACGACGATCTGATGCCGTCGCCCGTCGGGGACGATCAACACGTGCGGGCGCCCCTGCACGTGGGCCACCACGGGCCGGGGCCCTGCCTGCTGTGGGCCTGCAAGGCGTGCAAGCGCAAGACGAGCACCACGGACCGTCGCAAGGCCGCCACGATGCGTGAGAGGCGCCGCCTGCGCAAAGTGAACGAAGCGTTCGAGACGCTCAAGAGGTGCACCTCGAGCAACCCCAGCCAGAGGCTGCCCAAGGTGGAGATTCTGCGCAACGCCATCCGCTACATCGAGGGACTCCAGCGGCTACTGCGGCAGCAGGGAGGAGGAGGAGGCGGTGGTGGAGGTGGTGGTGAGCTGGTTGGAGGCAACCACGAGGATGGATACTCGGACGGGGGGATGTCGGGAGGTCGAGACGATGCGAGTGGAACGGTGAGTGTTGAGTGTGTGTGAGTGTTGAGTGTGCGGGTGTGTTGAGTGTGTTGAGTGTGCGGGTGTGTTGAGTGTGTTGAGTGTGCGGGTGTGTGTGTGTTGAGTGTGTGCTGAGTGTGTGTTGAGTGTGTTGAGTGTGCGTGTTGAGTGTGTGCGTGTTGAGTGTGTGTGTTGAGTGTGTGAGTGTGTGCGTGTGTTTGTTGAGTGTGTGAGTGTGTGCGTGTTGAGTGTGTTGAGTGTGTGTGTTGAGTGTGTGTGTGTTGAGTGTATGAGTGTGTGCGTGTGTGTGTTGAGTGTGTGAGTGTGTGCGTGTTGAGTGTGTGGGTGTGTTGAGTGTGTGTGTGTTGAGTGTGTGCGTGTTGAGTGTGTGTGTTGAGTGTGTGTGTTGAGTGTGTGCGTGTTGAGTGTGTGAGTGTGTGCGTGTTGAGTGTGTGTGTTGAGTGTGTGGGTGTGTTGAGTGTGTGAGTGTGTTGAGTGTGTGTGTTGAGTGTGTGTGTGTTGAGTGTGTGGGTGTTGAGTGTGTGTGTGTTGAGTGTGTGGGTGTGTTGAGTGTGTGGGTGTTGAGTGTGTGAGTGTGTTGAGTGTGTGGGTGTGGTGAGTGTGTGAGTGTGTTGAGTGTGTGTGTTGAGTGTGTGTGTGTTGAGTGTGTGGGTGTTGAGTGTGTGTGTGTTGAGTGTGTGGGTGTGTTGAGTGTGTGGGTGTTGAGTGTGTGAGTGTGTTGAGTGTGTGTGTGTTGAGTGTGTGTGTGTTGAGTGTGTGCGTGTTGAGTGTGTGTGTGTTGAGTGTGTGAGTGTGTGCGTGTTGAGTGTGTTGAGTGTGTCTGTTGAGTGTGTGTGTGTTGAGTGTGTGCGTGTTGAGTGTGTGCGTGTTGAGTGTGTGCGTGAGTGTTCAGTGTGTGAGTGTTGAGTGTGTTGAGTGTGTGGGTGTGTTGAGTGTGTGTGTGTGTTGAGTGTGTGGGTGTGTTGAGTGTGTGTGAGTGTGTAAGTGTTGAGTGTGTAAGTGTTGAGTGTGTGCGTGTTGAGTGTGTGGGTGTGTTGAGTGTGTGTGTGTGTTGAGTGTGTGGGTGTGTTGAGTGTGTGCGTGTTGAGTGTGTGAGTGTTGAGTGTGTTGAGTGTGTGTGTGTGTTGAGTGTGTGTGTGTGTTGAGTGTGTGGGTGTGTTGCGTGTGTGGGTGTGTTGAGTGTGTGCGTGTTGAGTGTGTGCGTGTTGAGTGTGCGGGTGTGTTGAGTGTGTGAGTGTGTGTGAGTGTGTGTGTGCGTGTTGAGTGTGTGAGTGTATGCGTGTGAGTGTTGAGTGTGTGCGTGTTGAGTGTGTGAGTGTTGAGTGTGTGAGTGTGCGTGTTGAGTGTGTGAGTGTTGAGTGTGTGTGTGTGTGTTGAGTGTGTGGGTGTGTTGAGTGTGTGTTGAGTGTGTGTGTGTGTTGAGTGTGTTGAGTGTGTGGGTGTGTTGCGTGTGTGGGTGTGTTGAGTGTGTGCGTGTTGACTGTTGAGTGTGTGCGTGTTGAGTGTGCGGGTGTGTTGAGTGTGTGAGTGTGTGTGAGTGTGTGTGTGTGCGTGTTGAGTATGTGAGTGTTGAGTGTGTGGGTGTGTTGAGTGTGTGCGTGTTGAGTGTGTGAGTGTTGAGTGTGTGCGTGTTGAGTGTGTGAGTGTTGAGTGTGTTGAGTGTGTGTGTGTGTTGAGTGTGTGCGTGTTGAGTGTGTGAGTGTTGAGTGTGTTGAGTGTGTGTGTGTTGAGTGTGTGTGTGTTGAGTGTGTGCGTGTTGAGTGTTGAGTGTGTGCGTGTTGAGTGTGCGGGTGTGTTGAGTGTGTGAGTGTGTGCGTGTGTGAGTGTGTGTGTGCGTGCGTGTTGAGTGTGTGAGTGTATGCGTGTGAGTGTTGAGTGTGTGCGTGTTGAGTGTGTGAGTGTTGAGTGTGTGAGTGTGTGTGCGTGTTGAGTGTGTGAGTGTTGAGTGTGTGAGTGTTGAGTGTGTGCGTGTTGAGTGTGGGCGTGTTGAGTGTGTGAGTGTTGAGTGTGTGCGTGTTGAGTGTGCGTGTTGAGTGTGTGAGTGTTGAGGGTGTACGTGTTGAGTGTGTGTGTGTGTTGAGTGTGTGCGTGTTGAGTGTGTGAGTGTGTTGAGTGTGTGAGTGTTGAGTGTGTTGAGTGTGTGCGTGTTGAGTGTGTGGGTGTGTTGAGTGTGTGCGTGTTGAGTGTGTGTGTGTGTTGAGTGTGTGCGTGTTGAGTGTGTGAGTGTGTGCGTGGTGCGTGTTGAGTGTGTGAGTGTCTATGTGTGTGAATGTCTATGTGTGTAAGTGTTACTGTATATGTGTGAGTGTATATGTGTATAAGTGTTAGTGTATATGTGTAAGTGTGTATGTGTGTAAGTGTTAGTGTGTATGTGTGTGAGTGTTCGTGTCTATGTGTGTGAGTGTATATGTGTATTAGTGTCTGTGTGTGTAAGTGTCTATGTGTGTGAGTGTCTATGTTTGTTAGTGTTAGTGTCTATGTGTGTGAGTGTCTATGTGTGTGAGTGTATATGTGTGTGAGTGTATATGTGTGTAAGTGGTAGTGTCTGTGTGTAAGTGTCGATGCGTGTAAGTGTATATGTGTGTAAGTGGTAGTGTCTGTATGTGTCTATGTGTGTAAGTGTATATGTGTATAAGTGGTAGTGTCTGTATGTGTCTATGTGTGTAAGTGTCGATGTGTGTAAGTGTAAATGTGTGTGTATATATGTGTGGTAGTGTCTATGTGTGTAAGTGTATATGTGTGTTAGTGTCTATGTAAGGGTATATATGTGTAAGTGTATATTAGTGTATGTACGTGTGTTAGTGTCTATGCGTCTTGAGTGTATATATGTGTAAGTATATATGTGTAAGTGTATATGTGTGTAAGTATATATGTGTTAGTGTGTACGTGTATATGTGTGTTAGTGTATGTGTGTGTTAGTGTATACGTGTTGTCAGTGTGGTTGTATGAGTTCGTGTGTGTGTGTGCCTCAAGGAGTACCTGGTGTAGCTGTGTGTAGTAAACATAACCACTAGGGGAGACAAAGGCGGTCGGGCGTGGTGCTGGCCACCCACCCCCTCTTGTGCCGTGCCGGCCTTCATAGCTGCTACGCGCTAACAGCACTTGCCCCCTACAGTCTGTTACAGGCCACACGTGGTGGGGGGGGGGGGAATCTTTGTTTGCCTTATCGCGTGTGAAATGAAATCACGAACACGAATAAACTCTGACCGCTTCGTGATCAACGTTTAAAAATGTGCGCTCGTGTTTCCCCCACTCCGGCCGGGGGTGTCAATAAGCAGGAAATCGGAGAGGGATCGAGAAGGTAATGGGGGGGGGGGGGGGTTGGGGGGGGGGCACCGCGTTTAGTCAACATCCAAAGGTGGCCTCGGTAGGCAATGGTGGTAGTGGTAAAGTTGGGGTTGGGAAATGATTAAGCCGCTGGGCATTTGACATTTCCGACGTTACAGACTGGCAACGAGAAGAAATATGGACAGGGGAATCGTCGCCATCGCGGCCGTCTGGAACGCTCTTCGAAATCCGATATTAGGAAGGCCACTGCTGGAGCTATGATGCGCTTTTAAATCATGTAGACTGAAAACCAAATGTCTTTAGAAGTTACTTTTTTGGTGTTTAATTGTCTCCCCCCCCCCGCACGCATCTCCGATTAGCACGGTTGGCTACGTACGGTGCGAAAGAAGTTCAACATACATACAATGTGAAAAATTTAGATTTACTCAAACGAAGTCAAAACATTAACGCAATATAAGAATATTTAAAATGTCACTTATTTAACAGGGGATTGATATAATGGCTATCGCGATTAGTCTTAAAATTGCTGCAAGTGCATACATTACGCAATAATAATAATACTATGGGCAAAACAGAAGGCATGCACTGGTTTCAAGGTTATTGGCGATGATCAGCATGTCACGACGATTAACTCTTCCCAGTGAGTGCACCACGTGTATCCTGCTTCGTAGTTAACGTGAGCACGGTTGCACTACGTACGGTGCTTGAGAAGTTCAACACAACACACATAAGTCGATGGTCTCCTGGTTGTCATTCGCAAGGGCTTAGGGCATTGTTGCTCCCTGCGTCCTGGGTCCATATTTGACCCCAACATTACTTTATTTGGAATTAAAACCACAGCAGCTGTAGCAGCAGCAGCAATCACCCTCCCACTGACAGCAGACTCGTGGTCCTGGTCACTCTTGCGATTGACATCCGTGTGTGATCCGTGTATGTATATACAATGTTGAAGTGAACTTCTTTCGCACCGTACGCAACCAACCGGTTCAGGTATATGTGTATATATGCGTGTGTGTGGTGTATGTGGAGCGGTGGGGTAGTGGTTAGCGCGCTCCGATTTGAACCCGGCGAGCCGAGTTCGATGCCCGTTCACGGCCGACACCCGTGACAATTATCTGGACCGGTCCTGGTCCTCCCCTAGGTCGACTCAGCCTCAAATGAGTATCTGGTGCTGTGTGGAAGCATCGCCAATGGGGACACAAAGGCGGTCGGGCGTGGTCCTAAAAGCACTTGCCCCTACAGCCTGCTCAGGCTATAACGGGGCGATCTTTGTGTCGATTGCCGTGCCGGCCTTCGTAAATGCTTGCCCCCAACAGTCTGTCAAAAAGGCCCCCCCCCCCCTACCACGGGGGTGATCTTTGTCTTTGTGTTGTGCTAATGGGGGTAGGAGGATGAGGACAATTAAATTGCAGTAACCTGCCGAAAATGTGCTTCTCCAATCAACATCATCTTGTCTTCGCGTTGGCATTTCAGTCCATTTGCCACGCAGACCCTCCCACCCTCTAATCTCATGAATCGTCAATAAATTAACAGGTCGGCGCGCAGACGAATTGGGGGGGGGGGTGGATGGCTGATGGTGTTGTTGTTGTTGGGTGTTGTGGGGCAAGCGGCGAGTGAGTGAATGAATGCTCACGGGATATTCGCGACAATCTGCGAGTTTGCTTGCCTGTGTGCGAGAGTCTCAGACCTCATCCTCCGCACCCGTGAATGCG